GGACCGAGGGGGGCCGGGAAGGGGGCTCGGGCCCTCCCACACTCGGAGCCCCGACCCAGGGCCCTAAGACAGGGACGGTAGTCCCTGGATAGTGGAGGGGGACAAGTTCCCCCAAACCCTCCACTCGCAGGGTTTCACGGCCCTGCCCTGGGTCCCTTCTTCCCGGTCTGTTTCTTTACTGATTCTCCCAGCCTGGGGACAAGCTTACCCTCCGTCCTCCGCTTCGGAGACTTCCTGGTCATCTGGACTCCTCGGGGTCTGGGTCCTTTGGCAGGTCCTGGGGCTCCTCCTTGGGCCGAACACCCTCCTCCCCCTGGCCGAGGCTTGGGCCTTTTTGAATCCCCCGCTCCCCGGCGCTTTGGCCTGACATCACCCCCGCGCCCAGGCCCCCACCCTCTTTGGCGTCTCGGCCGGCACCTCCGCTGACGTCATCCCGAGGCGTCGGTTCGGGCCGTACACTATCGGCCGCGCCGACGCTCGGCATCGCCTCCCGGCTCTTGGCGGCGCAACCCCCGCCGCTCGATCCCCCCTCCCGGTCTTCACCCCCCTCCTCGGGGCTTATCTCAGTGCGGGGTCGGGCGGGGAGTCCGCCTGCCCCGTCACACGGAACACCAAGGATTTTTTGGTGAGCAAAGAAAAAGGTTGAGGGGAAAGTTATTGAGCAAAAATCAAGATCACCTGCCCTTTTAAGGGCAGCCATTTTGAACCCTGTTGTTCTCCACGGCACACCTCCAACTGCCTTGTTGCAGACCGGTGTGCCTGGAACACAGTTTAACAAATACTGAATATGATATCATGAGCTTTCGTGGGCACAGCCCACTTCTTCAGATGACCAGAGTTTTGCGTATAGAAGTGAGCTCTGCCCACGAAAGCTCATGATACCATCTATATATTTTGTTAATCTATAAAGTGCTGCCAGACGATTTGTTGTTTTTTCCTGTACAGACTAACTCGGCTACCCCCTGAAGCTTCTGATTAAAATAGGAATGTGGAAACTTAAATATCTATCTAAGCACCCTAATGCAGAGTTGGAATGCTCAGTCTATATGTTCAGATTTGATGACTGACTCCTGTGTCTCTCTTATTATTACTCATCTTGCCTATTGGGCTAGTCTTACTAAAGGCACACTTCACTATGATGAAGGTCCTATATGGGGAGCGTGGGCAGGGGAAGATAGTCATTGTATCCTACAGTGTGTCCTTGTTTCTCCAGGGGTCATCCTCATTTTTTTCTTTATTTAATTTAATTTAATTTAATTTAATTTACCTTTTTACAGCTAAAGATTTTATTCGGAACTTGATGGAAAAAGACCCCAACAAAAGATATACCTGTGAGCAAGCAGCCCGGCACCCATGGTAAGCCACTAACACATTACTTCCATTGCAATGACCTTATTGCTGCAGCCCCTGTCTGTGGCCCCTGATTCTTCCTGTTTGTTCCATTGTGTCTGAAATTAGGCCCTGAACTTGCAAAATTGTGATTAACTTTAAGTTTGCCATTGAAATCACTGAATAATTAGATAATTACTGCACTCAGTTAGTTATGCTGCTGCAATGCAGTTGTGCCTGCATGAATCAATGCAGAATTTTGCTAAAACTCAGATTGCATATGCAATTACTGTTAGTTATCTTACTTATATAGCCTTCATCCAAGCCGTTTATGAGCACCTAACAGCCACTGAAGGACTTTACCTCATAGCACCTCTGTGAAACATGGATATATCATCCCCATTTCACAGGTGAGGCATAGGGTAATGATATTTCTACTTTGCATTAAAAAATATATGTTCTTAATGGTGGCTAGCCAATCCACATTACCTAATTCAGGTTAAAATAGCAGTACAAATACAACAACACAGCTAAGAGTTGAAGTTCAATACAAAGCGCCTGCTCAAGTGACTATGACTTTGCATCTGTTTACACCAGCATAAGATCACACTCTTTTTTTGGAAATGTAGACATGTAACTAAGTGACTTGCCCAACATCATGCTTAATGACTTCTTTGTTTCGGTCTTCACCGAGAAGTCTGATGAAGAAATGCCTAACATGGTGAATGCTAGTGGGAAGGGGGTAGGTTTAGAAGATAAAATAAAAAAAGAACAAGTTAAAAATCACTTAGAAATGTTAGATATTTGCAAGTCACCAGGGCCTGATGAAATTCATCCTAGAATACTCAAGGAGCTGATAGAGGAGGTATCTGAGACTTTAGCTGTAATCTTTGGAAAATCATGGAAGACAGGAGAGATTCCAGAAGACTGGAAAAGGGCAAATATAGTGCCCATCTATAAAAAGGGAAATAAGGACAACCCAGGAAACCATAGACCAGCCAATTTAACTTCTGTGCCAGGAAAGATAATGGAGAAAGTAATTAAGGAAATCATCTGCAAACACCTGGAAGATAATAAGGTGATAGGGAACAGCCAGCATGGATTAGTAAAGAACAAATCATATCAAACCAATCTGATAGCTTTCTTTGATAGGATAACAAGTCTTGTGGATAAGGGAGCAGCGGTGGACGTGGAATACCTAGACTTTAGCAAGGCATTTGATATGGTCTCGCATGATGGATTAGATGTGTAATAAGCTGTAGCACAGTTTGCAAATTATGTAGCTTAGATGCATGCTACGTTATCCAATTAGAAAGCATGTTAAGTTTCAATAAGGCTTAAAAGCGATAGCATGGAACATATGCCTAGACTGAAATTCATGGTATTTATGACCTTTCACTGAGGTTCATTTGTTTGTCTACATTTCTTTGTTACTTTAAATTCTGAGACAGAAGAAAAAGTTGAAACAGCAGAAAACTGGGGCTGTAGTGGATTATGATGACTTGCTGATTGGGCACAATGAGCCTCGCAGTACCCTGTGTTTAAACGTGTGACTGATGTTGCTTTTATTCATGTATAGGAAAATTATCCCCCACTGCCTAGCAGAAGATTGAGTAATGGTATAGGATATGACCTGATGTTCCTAAATCAGTGCAATGAAAAAATATTCTTCTTGCTATGTTGGTTTCCATTCTGACTGCAATGTCCAAAAATTAGAGTCATGGTTTGCTCCTCTAGTTAATTAATGACTGGTGATGCAGATCAATGAATTGAGAATATATACAAAGCAAGTGATAGTCTTGGAAATGTTGGTATAACAGCACAGAATAATCATAATTGCTGTGCTACATCAGGCAATGACTGCAAGCTCTCAGACTAGCTATAATTACAAACTAGATTGAGACTCAGCCTTTGCAGTCAAAGGGGCAAAAACAAGTGGGGGAAAGAGCAATATATATATTTTCTCACAATAAAAAATAAAACACGAGACATAAAGGATGTCATGCAAATAATGTGGGAAATTGAGATTATTTTTCTTCATCCTCCTAACTATCCACTACCACAAATACATTGCAAATGTACGATATTAGCAAGATCAGTGGCCAGCCTCAATATGAACAAGCAACTTGGAAAAGAAAAAACATAGACCATTTCTATGGTCCCACCAGTAACAGTACTATCAGCTTGTAACAAAAAGGTTATTTTGGAAATGCTTTGTAATTTTTGTGAAGGAAAAACGTGATTTCACAGAATGCAATTCTGAGTCTCAAGAAAAGTGATAGAAGTCAGTATTCCAAATACAGAGTACAGGACCAGGGATGCAACTCCCAGTGGAGAACTGGATGACCTTTAGTATTTCTGAAGGACACATTTTCTAAAACATTATTTCCAAGATCCCCAGAATATACAAATCTAAATCTTGGCCCAGTAACGTTGCTGTTGGTTGCTGGACTACAATAAAAAAATTCATGGCAGGACCAACACACAGCTGCTAAGTCCTATCAGTAGAGCAGAAAGAAAAAATATTGTTCTGTTCTTTAGTTTTTGGCTTTTATATGTAGTCCCCTTACTAAAGGGGCCTCTACATTTTTGTGGGAGGATCCTTTGTGCTGCAATATAGTCCTAGAGACTACAACTCCCATGAACCCTTGGGAAATAGGAAAAACCAGGGGCTTGTCCAGGCATTTTGGGAGCGAAAGAGAGGCTCTCCATTTTGGGAGAGAGGACCCAGGCTGCTGTGGAGGAGCCTTTGTCCAGTCCAGGAGTTGTTGTGTTGCAGCTAGAACCTGGGACTGAGAACCTGCGTGGCTTCGATCTAGCAGGCTGCTTCAGGGGCTGATGATTGTCCCTATAGGGGAGAGACTCTGGCTGTGCCTGTGGCTGAGAAGGGCTACATAAACCTTTACACAGAAGGAAACTGTAAGTAACTGGGCTCTTTGGGAAAGTGCTGACTGAGACAGACCTCAGGGATATAGACTAACTATGGGTGCAGCTGTGTTAGTCTGGTGTAGCTGAAACAAAAGACAGAACTATGTAGCACTTTAAAGACTAACAAGATGGTTTATTAGGTGATGAGCTTTCGTGGGTCAGACCCACTGAGGAAGTGGGTCTGGCCCACGAAAGCTCATCACCTAATAAACCATCTTGTTAGTCTTTAAAGTGCTACATAGTTCTGTCTTTTGTTTCAGCTACACCAGACTAACACAGCTGCACCCATAGTTAGTCTATATCCCTGAGGTCTGTCTCAGTCAGCACTTTCCCAAAGAGCCCAGTTACTTACAGTTTCCTTCTGTGTAAAGGTTTATGTAGCCCTTCTCAGCCACAAAGAGCTGCTGGCATCTGGTGGTGCCTGCTCCAGTGGCAGAGGGATTTTTCAGCTGGCTGCTCAGCTTGGACAAACACACACAGGACCTGTACAGTGCTGTCTCCACTCCAGCTGCAGACCTTCAAGTGCACCCACGCAAGCAAGGTCAATTTATCATTTTTAATACTCCACCAGGATGAGAAAAGTAGCTGGAGTTGACGGAAGAGCAGCCCCCACCAACCTTAACACATGGAAGACACTGCCATAAGTATGTCAACTTCAGCTACACTAGTCATTTAGACCCGTGGTGTCCAACACGCTAGCTATTAGCCACATGTGGCTATTTGGCCGATTGGTTGTGGCTAGTGCTACTGCTTCAGAACTGGTTGAACATTATGGACTTAGATGAACCAAGGGGTGGAGGGACTCATGTAGACTAAGCCTAAGAGAGGTGCAGGAAAAGCCTCTGGTTAATGTAGCCCAGATTGATAGGGGAACTCCTTTATTTTGGTATTATGCCTAAAATTTCTGTTCAACCAACAAAGTGCCCTGAGTGAGGGGCCTTGAACGGACTCCATGTAGAATTGACCTTCCTCAGAGAGCTTATGTGTGCAACGACATTTTCTTGCTTCTCCCTCCATTTTACATGTTTTATTGTGAGGCCAAGTCTATGGGATTAGCAGCAAGCAATGAGGCAGAAGTTCATCAAATAAAAGGAACTGTTTCACAGAACATATCAGAGTATGACCGTGAACAGAAACATTTAATTATGCAAGAGAAACTGGGGCCAATAAGAAAGGCTTAATTATTTCTGAGACAAGGTAACTGAGATAAAAAATTTTACTGGACTAATTCTCTTGATGAGAGAAACAAGCTTTTGAGCTATACAGAGATTTTCTTTGGGTCCTAAAGAAGAGCTCTGTGTAGCGCAAAAGCTTGCCTCTCTCACCATCCGAAGTTGGTTCAATAAAAGATATTTCCTCACCCACCTCGTCTCGCTAATATCCTGAGACCAACACAGCTACAATAACATTCACTGGTTATCTCACTACACTGCCTATACAGATATAGCTCACCTCAAAGTGTGCTTATGACTTTAACTGTCACATCTTTTCAATAAAATATTCCCAAGGAAACAAGCAAATTGAGAAAGCTACGGGCTTGATCCTGCCAAAAGTATGTAAGTAATTTTATGCACCTGAATAATCCCCTTGAGTATGATATAATAATACAGGTGTATTCAGCTACCCATGCTTAAGTGTTTGCAGGATCAGGGCCTAACAAATTAAAATGCCTCTTTCCAAAGATCCATTTTTCAGCACTGTATCTGTTCTTCATATGAACATAAAAACATGCCTGCATTTATACAATGCTTTTCTGTTTATAATCAAATGAACTTGACAGGAAAACAGTATGTTTAAACTCAGAGTTGGCAGGAGAAGTAGGCTAATAATTACAATAAAGTATTGCAAAGGAAACAGCACAATATATAAGCCTTTTTGGTAGAGGTGATTACATCCTGAACTGCATAATCTTCACATTTACACAGTCTTCTCCAACTTAATCTGCAGGTGCTTTATTCTCTTTTTTGCCAGGGTCATTTGTTTTACTGCACACCTCTCACTTAGGATATGTCTACACAGCAACATTATTTTGAGATAACTAGTGTTATTTCGAAATAACTTAGTCCGTGTCTACACAACAGGTAGTTATTTCAAAATAA